CATACAAAATGCTTGTTATTTTTTATTCAGTACTGTCCGGAGTACGATATTTGGTTCTTCATACTGTGTGTCTCACCTGGATGATCCACGACTGTTTGTGTGTTTTGTGATGATTGTTCATGAGTCCCTTGTTTGTTCTGAACAGTTAAACTGAGCACTGTTCTTCAGAAAAATCCCCCATGTTCTGCGGAATCTTAAAATTTCCAGCATCTTTTGCATATTTGAACCCTTTCCAGCAGTGACTGTATGATTTTGAGATCCATCTTTTCACACTGAGGGTTCATAGTTTCACAGATTTCCACTTTACAGCAAACACTAACATGCGTTTGTGGAGAGTTTTCACCAATGGGATTTCATGATGGACGGCACTTCCCAGCACTTCGGCTGCATAGGACAATAACTTGTGTAGAAGAGACAAATCTTAACTCTGTCATACCTTCACGTGCAAACAGAGTGATGCTTGTTTTTGATCATTCTGTCAGTAATATCAGTTTGAAAAAGTTATTTCTTGTTATTTCATCCAGTATGCGTCAGAGACAAGGCCATCACTGTGGGGCTTCGCTAAAAGGTGTTGATCTTGGCATATTTCGGCTGACTATTCTTTGAATCTGTAATATGGTATGGCAGAAACGGCAGCAGCATTTGGCACATCTAAAGGTGGGTGAGATTGACTCTTAATCCTGAGCACAATGATCCGTTTGGGCTGTGTTTATGTAGAGAAACTGTAAACTTTGCGTGAGGTGCTGAAATATGCACCGTTAAAGCCCTCTAAGCTGAGAGAGGCACGCTTTAGGAAAACAACAGGCCAACGAAGAAAACCCAAGCACTGGCCAACCACAGAGCTCTGCGTATATGGAATCACAAGTCATGATGATATTATACAGGGAGAAGAACGAGGGTCCCAGGACAGTGGTTTATTCCAGTTCTGGGTGTTATCATCAAAGTCCTGCGAGGCAGTACAGGACACACATCAGCAGTGATGGACTTATCACATCTGTGTGTGTGTGTGTGTGTGTGTGTGGTCTGCTCTGAACAAGAGTGTACTGGTCGTGTCTTCTGTCCATATTTGGGAACCACTTAAAAAAAAAAAAAAAGCTTCTGGTGGGTCGCGACCCAAATGTGCGTGTGGGAGTGCTAACACATGCTAACATCTTTCCAAACTTGCCAAAGTTTTAATGAGAAGCAATTATAAACTAGCCGTTCCACCAAAATAAAACCTTGACGGTAAAATTTTGAATGTGTAGAAATCAAGACGTCTATAAGTAGGGTTGCAAAAAGGTGGACAATTTCCAATAAATTTCGGAAACATTCCAGGAGTTTTTTTTAATGTTCCAGGGATTTTTGGAAAGTTTCCGGAAATTTACCGGAAATTTTTCACCAAAATAAAACCTTGACGGTAAAATTTTGAATGTGTAGAAATCAAGACGTCTATAAGTAGGGTTGCAAAAAGGTGGACAATTTCCAATAAATTTGGGAAACATTCCAGGAGTTTTTTTTAATGTTCCAGGGATTTTTGGAAAGTTTCCGGAAATTTTCCACCCTTTTGCAACCCTATCCATAAGTAATAGTATTGTAATTTTAGTTGAATTTTAAAATAAAATTATTATTGCTCTTAAAAAAGTTTCCATAATATTGCAGTGGTAAAATTTCTTATTTAAAAAAAAAAAAATTTGTAATAATTTATTATTATTTCATAGTCATTGATATATAACCATAACATTTTTGTCCAAATTGTGCAGCCCTACAAACAAGCACATCAAACCTTGAGTTTTTATCTTATTTATTTATTTTTTACATTTTAAATCGCAATTGCAATTTTTATCAAAAAAATCGTAATTGGAAATTTTGCTCAAATTGTGCAACCCTACTATTCAGTTCACTGCTATATTAATGCATTTCCTGAGTGAAAGGACATTTTTGTTTACTTTTATTAAATAAACACTTTTGGCCCTGTGAATCGCCACTTGATGTTCCATATAAATCACAGCCCTAAGAAGCAGTGGTTTATCTCCCACATCAACAATTTATTTGCCTAAGCAGGGTGTTATTTAGGCCAAAAGTCTCTCATTGTGACTGAAAGTAAATGGTGCTTTATTAAGGGTCGTTAACAGTGCTTTGACATGAAGGAAGGTGAGGGCTGACAGCCAACAAAGAGACGTACAGAGAGGGAAAGTGGGGGAGATCCAGAGAGAGAACAGCTTGGGCGAGGATAAGGATGCCAGTAGATGGGCCAATCAGATGGCTTCAGTCTCAAAAGGCTCTTTCATGAACGCAGTCAGTGATTTCAGGAGCGTTGCTCTTAAACTCATGCCTACCTCTCTATTCAAAGCTCTGGGTCTCAGAGTTAATATAGAGAAAGAACACTTCTCATCTATCCGCTAGATCAATATTTCTGGAACTCTGAATGTGGGTGAGCAGTATGACCAAAACCTTGTATTCGTATGAGAACAGTTTAGAAAAAATGTCCATAAATTTACATATTAAAACACTTGTCATCCCAGAAACCGTCTAACCACAGTTTGCATACATGCATTTAAAATTCAGCTTTGATCACAGGAATAAATAATATTTTAAAATACATTAGAAATGTAGAAATCAGTTATATTAAATTGTAATAACATTTGACAGTATTACCTTTGTGAGAGACTTTTAAACTGTAGTATATTAGATGGGAATTCGAATGAACAACAAAATCTTTTATTTTTCAATACGTATCACTTAAATATTTAAGTATTTTCTTTTTATATTATATAACTCAAATTATATAACACATGCCCAGAGTATACATAAATGCAAATGAGAGCATTTGCAAAAAAAAAAAAATATAGAGTTGGTATTATATACTATTTACTTCAGACTGATGATGTTACATTTTAACAATTTCAGTGTCGACTTGATACAGAGTAAGAGGTACTTTTGACATGACTAGTAAAACACATGAGGTTAGTGACTGGACAGCATAGGGATTTATTTCTTAATGTTTTTGAACACAATTGAATGCAGAATTTTTAATTAAAGCATACTTAAGGAGCTGTTCTCAGACTGAATGAGTGAGAATGAATGAGTGTTGTAGACCTTTTGTTTGCTGCTTTGGTCTCTTTTAAGTTTAATTGCGGTTGTTCACAGACAGTAAAGACTTCCTCTGGTGGTTTCTAAACCATAAATGCTTCCCCTGAACCGGCCTTGATTTTTGTTTTTCATTTGTAATTCAGGAACTTTCGGTCAGAAATGTGGTCTATGGAGTTCCAATGGAGTCGGGATAAAATCAAAGGAAATTGGACTTATCTGATCTTCGTCTGGGGGCCATTAAAAGGATATGAGCGAGAGAGGAATATTAAAAGACCTAGAGAACACGCTGGGGGTTGGGAACCTTTATAACACAACATTTATAGCTACTGCTTGCTGAATATTCCTCCTGAAAATTGTATTTTCATAATACAATGTAGCGTAATTTTCATTTCATGTTGACTTTGTGTAAATGGTGCTGATCTGTAGCATTAAAGAGAATAAACTTTCTCTCACCCAGACACGGTATGTGAAAGGTCAGGAAAAAGAGTGGCTCTGTCTGTCTCTTCATAAGAGGCTGTTTGTTTTGGGCTCCTCTAAACCCTCCTGTGGTATGTGGAGTGCCCTGCTGGTGTGTCCACGCTCATACATCTACAGGCGCTCACACCACTTTTATTCCCGGCCAAAAGCTGAAGCGACTGACCAGTAGTCGAGATGCAATTCTGTTTGCCATTAAAGTTTATTCTAATTCGATTGAAGGTGGTATTTGCCTTAATAGGTCAGTGAGATGTTTGGAGAAAACTTGTCAACCTTGTATTTGACATGGTTCCTAAGTGGATTTAAGTCATTTAAACAACCTATAGGGTCATTGGAAAAATGTGCCTCTACCTACATTTTCACAACACTTCACAAAAACATACCTATACATGCAATTCGCTGCAGTTTCCAGCTAAAATGAGCACTAGTGACATTAAAACAACTTGTGAAATTGTGATTTCAGGGCCAGATTATCAATAAATTAAGATTTTTTTTTCTTCCTGTGGTTACTTGCAAAATGCTATGTTATGACCTCAAAACACTCATCATATTGCAGGATTTGTAAACTAACACATTTTGATGTTTGGATCACAGAACCAGCTCCATATGGTTTTTCTGGTGTAGTAAACTCGCTTGGTAGCGCACCTGGTACAGTGTTGCTCTTGCAATGAAAAGCTCTCAGGTACGAGTCCCGTGAAACACGAGTCATGAAAAAAGAGCTCAGAGACTTGCAAGGAAATGTGAAAAAGATTAACCCAGTAACTTTGTTTTGGGAAGCCTTTTTCTGCAAGCGTCTGAGAAAAC